TACTCCATTCCTTTTCTATATCTGAAGCTCAGTGAAAAGATCACTGGCAAAGATCTAATCAGACATCAGAGTAGCAACTAGTACCAGCATGAGCTAGTTATTCTATTTTAATTGTTTTGTGTTTCTTGGTGGGCAGCTCAGTAGAGTAGATGATGGGATTGGTTTGTTCTCTCTGGGTATCCTGGCTTCCTCTGACCGCCTAAATATGAATGTTAGGTCAAAAGGTCACTCGAAACTGTGCCTATGTGTCTATGAGCGTGGATGGTTTCATGTCCTGTGTGTTTGTGTTGTCCTGTGATGGACTGGTGACCTTTCCAGGGTCTACCTGCCTGGCCCCAATGCCCACTGGAGACACCAGCAACCCAGAGACTGCAGAAATAAACAGGAACGGACAATAATGAAACAGTATTTTAACTGAAAAATATATTTTGGGACCTTACAAATTTATGAGCCATATATGCCAACTAACACTGATGTAGACATTACATTTTTACTCTTCAGTCAACAGTTAAGTTTAAAACTTTATTGTGTTGGCAGATAAACATAAGGTGCATTAAGATACAGCAAAGGCAAAATGTTTTAAAACCATTAATTGCACAACGACGAACAGACGATTACAGAACTATGATGAAGCATTTCTACCCTCAGTTTTTTCTGCTTCGGCTCTTTGTCTCATTAAATGTCTAAAACAATCAAATACAGTTTTATAACAAACACAGGTGGCAGAGTAAATAAAAACTGAAGTTTTCAAATTGTGATTTAAGTTATTAAATTACAAAAGCCACTCTTATTAACCTGGAACTATGTGATAAAAGCAGTTGCTCTCAACATTGAGTTACACTTGTGCCACTCTGAGAAGCAAAAACTGTGATCAAGCTTTTGTTGAAGTCTTATTATTACAATTAAATTTATTTCCACTCTAATTTGAAAAAAAAAAAATGTTTTAATTCAACTTCATTAGACGTTTTTCAAGTATGAACAGCCTGTTTAAGTTCACACTTGTCAGTATGACTCAAGTCCAGGCTTTCACTAGGCTATTCAAAAAATATTACTTATATTAGCATTCAGAGTTGACCATATGCTATGTTTCTAATTATTTTTCTTCTCCCTACCCAAACAGTGTTTTAGCCTAAGCTTTTAAACGTATGGTTGAACATTAGGGGCGTAAAGGTTCATGTACTCTGAGTTAAGAGAATTGGCAACACACCGAACAGTGAGTTCTCCACTGTTACATCTTTACCTGACATGTCTTTAGGAATTTATTAGTAGAGGCCAGAAATCATAGTCGCCTTAATTACAGTAAGTCATCTAGTGCCAGAAGGACCAAATCATTTAATATCATCTCATTACCAGAACAGGTTTGGCTTTGTGAATGATATTCTGTTTAAAATGCTGCCAAACCTTCTCCACAGGATGGAGGTTTGCTCTTGAACTAGGCCACTCCAGAACATCCACCTTGTTAGTCTTCAAACCATTTCTGTGTTTTAGCTGGATGCTTCATATTGCTGTTTTGCTAGAAAATACATATTCTCTGAAGCTGTAGTTCTTTTACAGATGGGAACAAATGATCACGTATGATTTTTCTGTGTCCTTGCTGTATTCATTTTACCTTCTCCCTTTAAAACCCTTCCAGGGCCTGCCGTTGAGAAGCTTCCCCAAATGGCTGCCACAATCACAATTTATAGTGGAGGTGTTTGCGGTGATATGCAGAGGCTGGTGTCGACCAAACATAACATCTCTTCTAATGGTCAAAAAGCACCATTTTTGTCTCATCGGAGAAAATAACTTCCTTCTACTTGATCATAAATTCTCGCACATGCTATTTGGCAAACTCTATCTCAGGCTTATCTCAGGCTTGATGCGAATTTTCTTCAACAGTGACTTAACATTTCCACTCTCCCTTAAAGCTCTGACTGGTGAAAAACTGACGTTTTGTCTGCAGAGTCTCTCCCATCTGAGCTGCTTAAGCTTGTAGCTCCTTCATAGGTCATATGTGTCCAGGTTTCCCCCTCTCTAGTCTCCCTTTATAGTCATTCTGTTGTGTGGATGACAAATAGGCAAATGACTAACTGTATTTAGTCCAACTTTATCTGCTTTGTGTGTCCTAAATGGAAATTGAATGATAAACAGACACTGCACGGAAAATAAGTAACAATTATGATTGCAAGTGGAAGCAAAGATTTGCATGCTGACCTTTGAAAAATGTTCACACTAGTCAGTATGAACAAGTGTGAAAAACCTACCAACAAGAAGTTATCAACCAGTAGCATTAAAGTATAGGCTTTAGTTGCTACACTTTGAGCTAATGTTGGTGTAGCTCCATTGCCAAACACTTCATGCTGCAACTGTCACAACCATGACAAACACAAAGACAAGGTGTGGTTTTGGTCAATGGTGAATGATGAGGCAAGGTGTGAACTAGATCTGTTCAAAGGGTGCAGTTTTGTTGAATTTCTATCTGTGTCATTTCCCCTTTCTGGGGCAAGATCAGAAGCTCTATAAGTATCCGGTGATTCTGCAGAGAAGGCTGAAGGTGCTGGTTGAGAAGACAGATCATTCTTCATCAGGTTTGCTGATCAAATTTATACTCATCTTTTTTTTTTTTTACCAACACTGTTTGAATTTTTTTTAACATGTATAATTTATTTTTGTTTCATCTTCAGATTGTAACTCTGCATCATCTCCATCATGAAGTTGTTGGCTGTGTTCCTCCTCGTTTTCTCCATGGTGGCTCTGACCAGTGGTGACAGTGAGTATTTGTTAAATACAAACTCACCATAAACTGACTAAAACAGAGATAAAAACAGTTTAAAACACTAACCCCTGTTTAAAATAGTCACAACTATTATTGTGCTCATAAAGACTAGTGGGTGTAAGTGTGAATGTTTGGAACATCTTCTTGTAGTATACTTTACTAAAACATAACACGTACCCTTTCTTCAGAATATTTAATATATTTATTAACTTCATGTCTTCACTACTCCTTGCAAAGTACACACATCATGCTTTTGGTCTGCACAAGTGTAACTGGGTTATTTCTCGTCATTGAGGGATTTATCTGTTTTAATAAATGTTGCATCATTAAGACTAACACCATTTACACGAGGGGTCACTGATAAATCAGCCAGTCAATAAAGCTGCCCCGATTTCCTTAATTATGGGAGATCTTTGATCTATTGATTTTTACAGATGGAACCGATCTTATCCACCTCTCTTATCCACCTCAGCTCAGGGCTAAAGATCAACCACTGTCCTCTTCTGCTCTGCCGTGAAAGAGGTTTGACTGACAGACCCGTTTAGCAGGTCATGTCTGTGCATTTGCAGTAAACAATGGTCACCCTACTGTTTGCATTTAAAAACAGGCACTCATCTGTTGCCAACTCTGAGACCTTTTTACTATATTTAGCAATATTTGAATGACAAATGAAAAAAAAATCAGTTAGCCAGAATCAACCAGTCAGGCTTTTTAAAGATTGCGATTGATGCAGCCTGACATGTACCTCTTGACTGAAAATCTCCATTTGTTTGTCATCAGAACGCATCGTCTTGCACAAGAAATCTTTTTCTTGTCCTTGTCACTGGAGTCAAATCAACGGTCGCTGCTTCATCTTTGTTGCTAAACCCATGACTTGGGCTAAAGCCGAGGTGATTTCCAACAACAATGTTCTATTTTCTATTGCTCTCTTTTATTTCACCACTTTTAATTAAAGCCCCGCTACTTCTTCAGATAATTTTATGTTTTTATCTGTAGAAAAACTGTCTGTCCATGGGGGCAAACCTTGCTTCAGTTCGCAACATTAAAGAGTACCGTCAGATTCAGGGTCTGATACTTGCAGCAGGTTACGAGACCAGGGAAACATGGATTGGAGGCTCTGATGCACAGGAGGTATTTTTGCCAGTCTGCTTCATTTTATTTAAATTTATTTTATGCATTTTGTAAAACACCTAAATGTCATCTACTGAACACTGTCTTTCAGGACAGAACATGGTTGTGGAGCGATGGAAGTGCTTTGCGGTTCACAAACTGGTGTCCCAAACAGCCTGATAATTTGACACGGAAACAGGAGTGTTTACAGATGAACTATTCAGGTAAAAGGAAATATCATACGTCTGTTTTTTTGTTTGTTTTCTTTTTAGTTAGCAACATGAATGAAGTTTCTCTCTAGCCGGTTAAAGTGCGGTTCGGTTCTACACCAGACTGAGCTTTTCCATTATATACTCTGCTCCTCACTATTGTGGGCAGGAGTGCACAGCAGCACTCAGCAATGAAGGTTCTGGTTCTGATGGACTAAAATAAACCCAGCTATTTAATTTTGTCTCATGGAAATTCATTACTGGCACAAACATAAAGATAAAGGCTCAGATCAGCTGATTATTTTGCTATGCATAAAAATATAATTACATTCTGGCACTTTGTATTTTTTAATGTCCAACATTTTAGATTTAGGCAGTCAAAAGGTGTAAACCAATAGCAACACATAAACTTTATTATTATTTTCTAATCCAAAAGAAAAATAAAATTCACATCACAAGTTAATACTATGTAGTTCTGGTGTTTCACACTGTCAGCAGAAAACAGCAGCTCCGTCAGAAAGCAGCTGCTCTGCTTCTCTCTTCTTTATCACTGTCCGTATTTCAGAGTCATTCTTCTGCAAAAGTTACCACATGTGTATTTAAAGTACTACGTACTGGGCAGCTCTCTGATAGCAGACTGCATGTTCATGGGTAAATGCTGAATGCTGTTTTCAGTGATATAAATCATGAGCCAATCAACGATTGTGGTCAGATGTCAAACAGTTTCAGTGCCTACCCTGCTCAATGCTGCTAGTACACGCCGGGTTTGCTGATGGAAAATGGATCTGGCCGAGGCAGACTGAGACCAAACCGGTTAAATTCGGTCTAGTGGAAAAGCGCCTATACTCTGCATGTAAACTTTTCAGTTGAGGTAAATACAGTGATACCAGAAGTTTACATTTTACCCAAGTCATTCAGCTTAGGACAGATATTCCTGATAATGACCAGGTGTACTTAAACTTCTGAATTGGAAGAAAAATGTTCTCAATAAGTTCTCTGGTCTTTAGCAAATAGAAATAATTTTGTTCTTGTTCTAACTGACCAAAAGGCAAGAGAAGTTTGGACTTAATAAACTTCTGACAGTGTAAAAAATATGTTTTTAAATATCTGGTTTCAACCGTACATTTACTGCATTAACAACAGGACCTCATTTTAATTTTTTGTGGCTAAAAGCTTTAGTTCATCATCCTTTCCAAACATTTTTATGATATAGTGTTAGGTCATTTAGCGTTTTCTATATATGATGCTCGACTGATCTGTTGTGTTGCTCCTAGCCGGCAAGTGTTGGGATGACACAGAGTGTTCTGCCAAGAAGCCTTCTGTCTGCGTCAAGAAATCCTGTCCACGCTGAGGTTCCCAAGAGGCCTGATGTGTAAAACAGAACCAGTGGAGGATGAATGCTAGGAGTTTCTGTTTACCTGCCTTTCTGCACCTTCATAAAAAAACAAAAAATATATTTCTGCTTCTTTTCTTCATATCATTTCTCTCTTTAATGCAACCTAATGAATGAAGCGACAAGCAAACAGCAGCTGGATTG